CAAACACACCAGACATGAGTGTGCACACTTGCACTGCTTATCGCACTCACACACCGAGACCCATTTGCACAGAAGGTTTGGTTGGTTGTTTATGGCCATTCCACACTCACACATCCAGAGTCACTCACCGACAGACAGACACACACTCACATCCAGGTCACTCAGACACACAGACATGCACACACATCCAATCACTCAAACAGGCACACAGACAGACATGTACACGCTCACCATTCAGAGTCACTCAGACGGACACACACACACAGTGTTCATACAGCTCACACCCCAGAGTCACTCACAGACAGATATACAGATAGATACAGATGTGCACACACTCACACATCCACAGTCACTCACAGACAGATGTGCATCCACAGATACACCCAGGTCACTAAGCTAGACACGCACACACAGACGTGCACACACTCACACACCCAGAGCCACCTCAGCCTGGGAGATGGCCGGGTAGACTCCTAAACCCAGTCCACAGATATGCAGCCCAAGACCAGGCAGCATGAGTGATCTGCCCCAGGTCACACAATGTATTGATTCCTGTCGAGGCGGGGGGACCCAGGGCAGGCCTCCCGGGCAGGCCAATTCAGTGAGAAATCCAAGTAAAGGGTCTAACCCAGTGCCTGGCATGTATAGGACCCCCATTCAACCCCATTCAGGGATTAGTCAGCAGGGAGCAAATGGTATGTGTGTGCAGATGCCCTGGACGTCTGTGTCCACAATGTACGCGAACATACATACATGATTGCACATATGATCACTTCAATAAATAATCACGTGATCCTGAAAGGTGTCTTCCTTTCCATCTTAATCCCCTCCCCATCTTTTTGGCGGGATCACAGGCACTCATCCTTCACATGTCAGCCCAGACATCCCCTCCTCCAGGAGCCTTCCTTGACACCCCACAGACGGAATTGGACAAGTCTTCTGGGCTCCCACAGTCCCCTGTGCCTCGGCCTCCCAGCCTTGAACCTCTCCCCCCCCCCCCCCTGCTCCACTTCCCGGTGACAGGTCTGTCTCTCCCACCGGACGGGGGACTCCAGCGGCACAGAACTGAAGCTGCCTCTCAGTTGTATTTCCAACACCCCGCACAGAACTGCCGAACAAATACATGCTGATGAAGGATCACACACCCCGGTGCACACAGGATGGCAAGCACCAAAGAAGGCTCATCCCCACAGACACCCAGGAATGTGACACACACCCACAGTCGTGCCTACATGGTCACAAATAAAGCAATCACCCAGTGTTCCAGGCACTGTGTTAGGCACTGACGTATGTTACCTCCTTTAAGTCTCCCATCAGCACTCTCATTATGCAGAGATAACTATCATTTTGCAGAGAAAGACACATTACAATGTGTGAGGCAGCAAACCCACACCGCCTTGTGCAGTACCTGGCGCTCAGTGCGCACTCAGTCAATTGACAAGGGGGGGGGGGCAGTTACTAAGCACACGAACAGATAACATTTCTGGGGTGGTAAGTGCCACGAAGAAAAGACGAAGCGGGGCAAGGGGGCTGAGACGGGCGGGATCAGTTGCCAGCTCAGATGGGAAGGTCAGGGAAGGCCTCCCTAAGGAGGTGACAGCTGAGGCCAGTGAAGTGAAGAAGTGAGCCCAGAGGTCACGGCCAAGGCGACCCCTCCGGTGGCGACCCCTCCCGTGGCGACCCCTCCCGTGGCACACACCACAGCCCGCACTCTCCCTCACAGGCGGACACACGACAATCACACCCTGGAGACTCGCCACTACCTCTCACAGACCGCACACTCCCAAGCCCAGCAACTCGCTCAGCCTTCCGACCCATTTGCAGCCCTGGCTCCTGTCACCCACCCACTGGTCCACAGAAGAGCCCACTCCCAACCCGGCTTGTGTCCCTCCCCGGAGCCTTCGGGACAGGGCGGCAGAGATGGGGAGAAGAGGTCGGGAGCCCCCAGGTGTCTGCTGTGGAAGAGGAGACGAAAAAGGAGCTGGAGGGGGACCAGGGTGGGAAGGGGAAGCTGCTGAGGACCAGAGCGAAAGCACAGAGAGCCAAGGAGGAAGGGCAGGGCAGGGCAGGGCAGGGCGGGCCGAACCCCGCGGAGCTGCCCTAACTCCGCACAGCGGCGCGGGCCTTACCTGGAGCCCCCATGCTGGAGTGAGCCGTGCTGCCCGCCCCGCAGGGCTGGGGGAACAACTGTGTCACCTCCCGCCCTCTCTGGGGGCCAAGTCCTCTCTGCCGGAAGTCACCCCGGGAGGAAACCGCAGGGTCCGCCCCCTTCGGAAGGGAAAATACCCTGCTGGAAGGCCCACCCCTGCAGGCAGCGACCCCAAGTCAAGTCTGTAGGGGAAGTGGGGGTGTGGGGGGCACGGGGCAGGCTGGGAGAGCTGGCTCCCACAGCCGTGCCCCCGGGGGTGCCTGCCCCAGCGCCCAGCCCCGTGCTGCCTCCAGGGCAGACCTGGAATAGGGCGGGCTTGTGGGCCTGGGAGAGAAGGTGGGCCCGTGACAACAACACTGAAAAAAGGGCTAGAAGCTTTATGGGGGGGGCGGGGTGCAGGGGGAGAAGGCTTTCCCAAAGCCAGGCCCTGCAGCTCGCGCTTGACAAGGGTCATCTCTTGCGCGATCACTATTCGCCCCTTTCACAGAAGGAAAGACTGAGGACCAGGGAGCTGGGGTGGCGTCACAGGAGCGCAGAGCCGAAAAGCGCGGCAGGAGGAGGCGTTCGCGGTGGGTTTCCAGCCCGGCTGGGGGCGGGGGGCGGGGGGAGAGAAGGGGGGACCCTGCCGTACACCTGCCCGCAGGTGAGGCGTCCGGGCCTCCACCGAGAGGAAGCGGCGCCCGTGGGCGGCGGCAGCGAAGGCGCAGGTCCGGGCCTTGCCCTGGAGCAGCCAGAAGTCGGCCGGGGCAAACACGGGCGCTGAGGCCGCTCGGGTGGAGGGCAGCGCGGTCCCCTGGCTGCGGGCTGGCCCTTAGCGCCGCGAAGCT